ACTTGCCTTGATGTTTCCTGGGCAAGCATGTTGCTTGTTCCTGTAGTAGCAGTCAGACCGGTCTGCCTATGAGCATTATGTTTTAAGATAAATATTGAAATGTTCTTTTTGATGAGGAATGTGACACATGGAGGTTAGGATTTATAATACATGTTTTTTGAGGCCACAGTTAAATCTATAACTCTTTCCCTTCCTAAAAAGTTAGTTGCCAGGAATCACTTTATATAGGACTATAAATTGACAATGAATTCATTTATTGGTAATTTATGACATTAATTTACTGACCATTATGGGATTACTGATTGTGATTATTATACATCATTTAATTTTTCTTTCAATTTCATATTGATTTTAATTAACCAAGAACCCTCTATAAGGAATTCGTATTGACTTACCATGGTCTTCAACAGAAAAGTAGAAGATGTCCTTTGTTGCATTGCTGCCCTCTTTCAAGACATAGCAGATTCTCAGCTCATCAATATCAGCTAAGAAAAGAGCATCACACCAAGTCATATAAGCACAAAAGAGAACGGGTATGCTAAGAACGTCAGTCTTTTAAAAACTGCTACAACAAATAAAATTTAAAACCATAACTAAGTGGATCTAAATTGTTTTAAATTCAAAGAAGAATGGCAAAAATAGAAATCTAGTTGAAAATATATTACAATCTATTGTGTACATTCCTGGGATGATACCCAGGGATGGCCCAAGGAGGACATTCTAGTAATGCATAACTTATATTACATCTAGTGATGCATAACTGACAATACATCATCAAAATAGAGCTAGGTCTACTTGGTTTTAATTCTTTTGCACAAGCATAGAGCTTGGACTATGGTGAGTACTCAACTGTTTGCTGAACTGAATTGAAACAACTTCTGAGTTCTAAGAAAAAAGAAAGGAAGATTAAACCCGTGAGTTTTCTCTTGCCTATTCTCTTGTATTTTTTAGAATTTGTCACTCAGGTCTATAATTCAGTTTTCATATTAATAATTACTAGCATTTTAAAGACAGTTGACTAAGGGATTATTTATGTGTATTTATAAAAATAATTCTTACCAAACTACATGTGATTTCATTTGCTTTAAGAGCAAAAATTATCACCTGAACAATGTAATTCTTCTGAAAATGTAACCAAAGTATTTTTGACATCTCCTTCATAATTTTACTTTACTCTGAGATTATATCTAGGTAGAAATGTATTTTATGTTGGAAACTCCATATATTTTTTTACATTTCAAATATAAAACTACAGAAGGAAGTTGGAAGACTATCTTAAGAGCAACCATAAGACAAGTATATGTATGGCACCACCTAGGAAATCAGAGGGATATTTTCTCTAGCTCTTGTTCACCATTAATAGCAAAATCAACTATAAAGACAGTGGTCTTTAAACATATCCACTACACATTCATGCAACATTAGTTCTATGCTTTTTAATAGATACAGACATTGCATATGCATAGTATGATACAAATGTACATAGTATAGTAATTTATTTCCGAAATCTAGGTACCAAAGATCTTAAAAAATACAGCTTTACTGGTGTGGTGCTGTGGGCCAATGCATCGGACTGCAAAGTTGTTTGAACTACAAGATCAGTGGTTCAAACTCACCAGTTTCTCCTTGGAAACCCTATACAGGGTCGCTATGGGTCGGAATCGACTTGATGGCACTTAACAACAACAACAACTATACAGTGTGCAAATAATTCCTAGATAATTAATTCTTTTTAAAATTAAAAACCAAACCTAAGTAATCAGTACATAACCTCATCTTAAAATGTTTCAGAAGCAGAATCTTGTGTTTTTCAGGTTTTACCACAGCCTTATTAAATACCTGTGGGTTCCTGTAAAGTGGCCATTCTGCTGAAACAGTTAAACAAAAGACTTGATACCTTCTTCTTTATCAGGATTCTGTGGTGCTGTGGTGGCACAGTGGATGTAGCTGCTAATTAAAAGATCTGAAGTTTGAACTCACCAGCTGCTCCACAGTAGAAAGATGAGCAAGCCTGCTCCTGTAAAGATTTACAGCTTCTGACCATAGGGTCACAATAAATCAGAATTGTTCTACATATAGCCTCAGGTTAATACAATTGTACACAAAGAACTAATGCACTGAATGAAAAGAACAGTGAAACCCAGGGGATAATGAGTACTAACCTTGTGTAAATACTTGTGTGCTCTCATTTCCAAGGCCAGTGTTGATAATGAAGCCATGCTCTGGTCCCCTGATCACTTTATACTTCAGAAGCCAGTGGGAACTGTCCTGATCCTCTGCCTTCAGAAACTTGCTGGTAATCAGGAAGCCCATGTGTCCAGTATGAAGGTGCTTCAAGGCCATGGCCCCTTTGTTAATGGCAATCTGAGGAAGCTTGTTATCTAGGGAGCTTATCTGGATCCTCATTATTTGAGGTTTGTGTGTCTCAAAGGCAGTGTCTGGGAAGACATAAAAGTCAGTGTGATTGCCATCTGTCACAGTCAAGGAGAAACTGTCTTCCATGGTCTCACTGCCATCGTGCCAGTAGCTGATCCGATTCTTATTCAGGGCCTGTTTGGTGAAGGTGAAAACAGGCTGGCTGCCATCATATAAAATTCTACCATGGGAGGGGACCTGATTGATGGTAAATCGAAGAAGATCATCTGGGGTATCATTGTCCTCAGCTGTCAACTCAAAAGGAGTGATCAGTTTGCTATCCCCTCTCTGAAGTACTAGTTTGTGGATGGTTAAGACAGGTTTCTTACTATCTAAAGCCATGATGAAGAACCTGAAGGTTCTAAACACAGTGTTGTGTCCATTAGTTATGAGAAATGCAAAGCTGTCTGTCTTTATCTCATCATCGGAAGTGTGAACATAGAATATTTTGTTGCCAGCCAACTGAAGCTGAGTGAAAGATTCAATGGGTTCCCCTGGATGGTCCAAATTTTCCAAATGGCCCAGGCTAGGAGCCTGTGTGATGCTAAAGTAAAGCTGCTCATCAGGGCCATCGATGTCACTGATGGTAAGTAGATGTGTGGTGAGGGTCACTCTACCACCTTCTTTCAAGGGGACTCCTTTGCTCACCACCTCAGGAAAGATTTTATCTAAGCTGCCAATTGTCACATAGAAGAAGCAGTCTATTAAAGGGTTAACCCCATCAGTCACATCAAATTTGATAAGGTCTTGAATCCCTTGCTGGCCTGTGTGAGTATAGGTTATGAGGCCTTTATCAATCTCATCCTGGGTAAAGTTCATTCCAACAGTCAGATTGTTCCTCACTTCTCTGGGTTTTCTTAGTTGCTGTAGAAACCCTTGTTGAGGACCAGAACGGAGGACAAAACTGAGACTTTTATCATCTGAATCAAGGTCAGTGGCCTTGAGGAACGCGTTTGTGATTACCTCAGTGTGTCCACTCTCCACTTCCAGCACATTGTTGATTGTCAGTTGAGGGGCTTCATCATCTACCAGGATCACTGTGATGGGTACCTTCCTGTGGGTGGTATGCTTGCCATCACTTAGCCAGACTTCAAAACTGTCTTCTGTGGTCTCTGAGTCATCATGTTCATACACGATGGTGGAGGCCTCCTGGATCTCCTCTAAGGTGAAGCTGTGGATGGGTTGGCTGCCTGTGGCCAGCTGCTGTATGATCCGTCCATGCTGAGGGAGGGCTGTGAGCTGAAAATGAAGCTCATTAGGTGGCGTGTCAGCATCTGCTCCATTGAGTAGTGGGGTGTCTATGACCAGGCTCATCCCCTCTAACACCACAAACTCATGGGTGAAAAGTTCAGGCGACTCATCGTTGGTGGGTAAGATGATTATAGGGAAGAAGACATTGGGGGAGAAGTTAATACCATCTGAGCAATAAAAAGTGAGTCTATCTTCTTGTGGTTCTACCCCCTTGTGGATACTCTGTACATAATTGATATGCCTTGCTTGAATATCTCTGATGGAGAAAGCACTGATGGGGTTACCAATCCTTGGTTCTTCTGAGCCAGAAGCGGGTGCAATATTTTCCAGGTATCCAGAAGCTGGCTGACTAGTCACTATGCACAAAATTTTATCTTGGGGAGTGTCCACATCTTCAATGCTGAGATGGTGCAAGGTCAAGGAACTCTTACCACCTTCATAGACAATGTAGGACTCCCTCACTGAGACCATGGGGGCCACATTGTCCTCAGGCAGCACAGTCACTTGTACATGAACCCTCTTCTTTATGCTGTCCCCCAACACCCATTGAAAAGGATCCTTGTAGAGGGTGAGAGTGAAGGTATCATGCTGCTTTTGGAAACCAATTTCACCTCCAGTGTGGTCATAGGTTATGGCCCCACTAACAAGGTCCTCTTGAGTGAATCGTTCTGTGGGCAAACCATCTACCAGAATAGTGCCCAGTTTGGGACTCTCCTCTACAATAAAAATCATCATTGACTCATTTGAGTCCTTTTGGTCATGGATGATGTTCATGGTGATCTCAGTGGCTTTATTCTCTAGCACATCTATGGAGACATTCAATAGTGGTCTACCCGTGATAGAGATCCTAGTACTCTTGTCATCAGTGGGCTGCGTAGAGATATGGACAGTGATGGGTACACAGTGTACCCGGTCACTTACCTCTAGCTGGAAAGTATCACCGGTAGTCTGGTCTCTGACATGCTGGTAAGAGACACTTCCATTGACAATATCAGCGTACATGAAAGATTCTCCTGGCACCATAAGTTTTTTTAAGAACTGCAAGTGTCCATGTTGGGGACCCTGTATTAACATGAAGATGATCTGGTCAGCATCTGTGTCAGCGTCCGTAACATCTAGCTCATTACTGCTGAGAATAAAGCTGTTTCCTTCCAAGATATTAAAGCCTCTGTTAGTGACTTGTGGAGGCTGGTTTTTCAAAGGCTGCAGGAATAATGTGAATGTTCCTGATACGCTATTGCCTGCAGCATCTTCTACCTGGTAAGTGAATTGCACAACCTGGAGTACAATACCCAGTTTTGTCTGGGGAGGTTGATAGGCAACTTTATGGTGATTTACCTGGGCCTGGTTAAAGTGCACGATGGGTGTGTCTGGCACATCAGTAAGCACAATTTTTCCAACTGGGACTTGGTGGTTGTCGTCTGTGTCAGTTGGAGGTGTCAGTAGAGTGTATTGTAGGTTCTGGTCATCTGAGTGTTGGTCTATGTATCGGAGGAATTTCTTCTGGAAGTAAGTAAGTTGGTATTCTTGAACATTCATTTCTAGGGTAGTTCCAGGATACAACTCTGGACTTAGTAGATCCACTGGGTGAATTTTGACAATGAAGACATGCTGGTTGGATACATTGGGTGGCTCATGGTCATCCTGCACATGGAAAGTCAGGTGAGCCAATACAGATTGAGGGCTGTGGGGTCCAAGATGGTGGTAGAAGAGTCTTCCTTCTATTATATCTCGCTGTAGCCACTCGGTCACTGCCTTCTCATAAAAGCCTTTCTTTTCCACATAATGCCACTCTTCATCTATGGGAGACAGAGGTGGTTCAATCTGCCTCAGCAACATCTCCCCGAGGTGCTGGTTTGAGTGAGCAGAACCAGGAGTTTGATCCCAACCTCTTCCTCCCTCTTTTTCTTCCAGAAACTGATTTTCCAGTACAAAGCGAATGGTGGTGTCCTCAGAGTCAATATCAGTAGCACTGAGGACAAAGGTAGAGATCTGAACCACCTGCCCTTCAGTTAGTGATAGTCCCATGTTGACAGTGACTACTGGTGGTTCATCATCAACAGGTATAATGGTTAGCGGGAAGAGGAATTCCACCTGGTGGCGCTTATCCTCAAGCCTGAAGATGATGTTATCACTATAGGTGTCAGTGCCGTCATGCAGGTACGCCACTCGTCCAGCTGCCAGGTCCATTGCTGTAAAATACTGGCACCCAACAGATGCTCCAGGCACCACCAACTGCCCATGTCTCAAGCCTCTGACCACAGTCATTTTCACCTCTTCCAGCATATCTTTGTCACTTATCTGCAGGCTGTGGGCACTGGCCAAGGGTCTTAATTGGCCTTCAGAAAGTACTAGCCCCCTGTTATAGGTAGCCACAGGTGCCAGGGAATTCATAGGTTTTACTACCACCACAAAGACAAAGGGGTCTGAGGTGGCACCATCTCCATCCATCACCTCCAGCTTCAGCTGGAAGACGAATTCCTCTGGCAAGTTCTGTATAGGAGACCGATAGGCAATTTTCAGTTCCCGAAGCTCCCGCTGGGTGAAAGAAAACACTGGAAGGCCCAGAGGGTCGTCGGTGCTGACCATGTACCCCTGTTGACCCAGGTACTCTGGTGAAACTCTAGGGGCATTAAGAATGTTGAAAACCAGGTCATCAGGGTCTGACTCCTTGTCCTCGGCAGCCAGGGCATCAGGGGTCAGGGCTGTTAGCATGTACTGATCAACCTCTATCATCATCATAGCTAGGAAGCTGGGTCGAGGTGCAGTGTTCTGGGTTCCCTCATGGATCTTCACCAACAACTGGAAGTACTCGCGGGCCAGCACCTCCATTGACCCAGTGCCTTGGTTCCCTGGCCCTAGCAGCTCTGCCATCATGGGCACATAGTCCCGGTTGGGTGAAGGGGTGGTGGCCATGTGCTGGTAGCGCACCCCAGCCCTGATGAAAGTCTCACAGTCTACTCCTCTGCCCCTGGGGAGAGGGATCCCCACAGCGTCCACCAAGCGCCCATACTTGGGCAGTGGACTGCCTTCAAGTGGAAGAGGGGTGAGCCGGCACTTGGGGGCGACCGTGGCTCCGGACTCTGGGGAGGCGAAACCCAGCACTCGTCTGTCGATGGCGTGGCTACAGCCCCGCAGCTTCTCCAGTGCCAAGGGCCAGTTGCGCGTCACGAGCTCCAACTGGGAGAAGACAACGTCCACCGCCAACGTGAAGGGCAGCACCAGCGAGTAAGTCACAGCGTCGTAGCGAAGTTGCAGCGGCACCCGTGCGCGCACTGGGCTGCGCGCGCCAAAGTGAGTATACTGGACCTGGCGGGGCCCGAAGGCGCAGGGAAAGCTGCGCGGGGAGAGCGCTCCTGTTTGTAGCGGCGGAGCGTCCAATACAGTCACTTCACATTGGTCTCCAGCCTGCACCCGAATCTTCAGGTCCCGGAGCGGGTCGAGCCAAACCGAACGCCCCACAGGCACCTGGATCCCGGGGTTGGCGATCAGTATGCCGGAGCCGTCGGGGATGTTACGACCACGGTCTCCTCCAGGGTCCGGCAGGTAGAGCTCCTGGTCAGTCCCGGGCGAGGGTATCTGTCCCTGCAGCAGAGGGCAGCTGAGTAGCAGGCAGGCGAGAACCGCAACAAGCTTCCGGTGCGTCCCCGCCGGGCGCCGAAAAGCCTCAGCCATGGCCAGGGATTGATATACTCCAGCTGGGATGCCGGAGGATCCGCCACAGGTACAGAAAGCGATGTAGACGGTGGCTGCTCTACCCTCGGAGCAGACACGCGGGCCCGGCCAGACCAAGTGGCTGCGCTCCAGCTGTGGCAGGTAAAAGCAGCAGGGGAAAGGCAGAGAAAGGGGGTCTGCCCACTCCCTACCCCGCCCTCGTCTGGCGTTTCTCTTTTGCTGAAACACTAGGGCGGCACAGATACTCCCCAGCAGCCAGAAACCGAACTCTCCCTCCTCTCTTCTGTGCCTTTGACCCAGCTACCTTTAAGACCTTTTAGCTCCGAGTAGTGGCCGGCCACCGTGCAGTCCTGGGCTGTCTGCCTCGGATTAGAATGTCTTGTTACTCTCCTTCCCGGGGGCCCTCAAAGGGATTGTTCCTTAGGACTGGGAGATAACCAGCGATCGAAACAGGGTCACATTTACGCTCAGTGTGAGACACTGAGCTCTTGTGGTCAATTCATCCAGGGAATGGTATTTCTGATAGACGGAGAGACATCATTCTTCTTCTTTACCCCTGGCAAGAGTGCTTTTTCTAGCCAAAATTAAGTCTCACATTTAGAAATAGAAGAAGCTGGTGGGAGCTATTTTGCAAAGAGTTATTTTCTAGTTGTCTGTCTGATGAAGCATTTTATTCCATATCTCGTAATTCAATTCTTCCAAAACAGTCCTGACATTTTTTTCTTCTGCTGAGATTTTGGGAAAGACGATTCAAATCCAGGGGATGATCTGGAATAGTTTTTAATCTATTACTAGTCAATGAATCTCATATATCACAATGGGGTATGCAGGTGGGCTTCCTTCCATTCGTTTGCAATGTGATTTACATGCTTGATCAACGGCGACTCTACTGAGTTTATTAAACTTACTGTTTACTAGTAACTTTGTGGAAAAATGCATAGTGACCAAAGAGGAGGAGGTTGAAGGGAAATAGAGAAAACAGATACCTGCATCACTTTATGTGAATTCATCTACATATGGACATTCAGATAAGGCTGACTCATGCCCTTGGGTGTGAGGTTAAGTGTTTAACAGTTTCCTATTCAATTTTTAAGTATTAGAGAAGTTCATTTAGTCCCATTTTCCTATAAGTAAAACAGTGGCTAATGTGTTTTTTAATGCAGTTAATATGAGGGAGACTTGTTGATGATAATGAAAAAACTGTTCTGATAAAAATGGGTGTTTGAAAGGACTATAAATTGATAGCATATCATTCAGAGATCATCCCTTTGATTATGTAGTGTTGCAGATGTCTGTTTTATTTATTTCATAGCAGCAGCAACCACGGTAACTGACCCCTAAAGTAGGAATAATCTGCTAGCGGCTTGAAACAGTTAATTTTTTCTAAATATTTAATTTCATTAGTCAGTGAAATGCTGTGGGTAGATACAATCCACTACACTAGATGCTGGCACACCACATTAACACACAGATTTGTTCATGTAAAAGAATTTTAAAGATAACAATTTTGCAACCATCTATGTTTGAACTAATTATGCAGTGCTGTTCCAGTGTATTGGAAAATTTTTATTTAAAAATATATGAAAAATGGAAACACAGGTAAAATCCCATCGCAGATGCAATTCTAAAGAGTCATTATGTTTAATAAAACTATTGCATTGTCCAAAGGATAGGCTTTTAAATATAATTTTTATTAGTCTGTATCTATTAAATGCTACTAAGTGAATATTCCTGTATGAATGCAGTTTTGGCTCTTATCCAAGCACTAATCATGCTGGCGCTAACTATCCTGTCCACATGGTATTTTCATTATAGGCAGAGAATAGGGTAGACAGCTGAGATCTCAGAACTGCTATATTTACATTTCCATTATTTGACCCTTCCTCTCTAGCTAATGTTTCACTTCTTCATCACCAGCTTCTCCAGAGTGCTTCTTTACTTACCATCTCTATTTCTTCACTTCACTCTTCAGACCGCTACTGTCTGACTTTTACTTTACACACACCAATGAAACTAATAGTGAATTTTCATCTTGTTCATGTGGTCTTCTACCTTTCTTGTTTTCCTTTTACCTTCCACTTCAAGGGTCACTTCTTCAAGGAAATTTTTTCATATGTTCCTCCAGCCATGCTCTTTGCAACAAGAATCTCACTTTTTAATTATATATTCAAGACAACTTGACAAATGTCTGTGTTCCTACTAAATAGGAAACTCCGTGAGAGTGGAAGTGTGCAGTTGTTGGGACGTGCCACTGAAGGTGGTTCTGACTCATAGCTATCCCATGTACAACAGAATGAAACAGCGCACCACCCTTAAATTTACTACCTTTGAGTTCATTGTTGCAGCCACTGGGCCAATCCATCTTGCTTTCCTTTTCTTTTACTGACCCTTTGTTTTACAAAACATGATGCCATTTCCCAGGGGCTAGTTTCTACTGATAACATGTCCAAAGTACATGAGATGAAGTTTTCCATCCTTGCTTCTTGGAGCATTTGAGCTGTACTTCTAAGACAGATTTTTTTGTTCTTCGGCAGCTCATGGTATATTCAATATTCTTCATCAATATTAGAATTCTAAGGCATCAATGCTTCTTTTGTTTTCCTTACTCATTGCCCAACTTTTTTTTATGCATATGAGGTAATTGAAAATATCATGGCTTGAGGTTAAGGTGCACCTTAGTCTTCAAAGTGACATCTTTGCTTTGTAACACTTTAAAGAGATATTTTGCAGCAGATTTTCCCAGTGTAAGACGTTGTTTGTTTTCTTGACTGCTGCTTCCATGTAGTTAATTAGCCTTCCTCCAATCTTGATGCTTCATTCTTCTTCATCTAGTACAGCTTCTCAGATTATTTATTCAGCATTGAAATTGAATAAGTATGATGAAAGGAGAAAACACTTACACATTCCTGTCCTGATTTTAAGCCAGGTAGTATCCCCTTGTCCTGTTCAAATGACTACCTCTTGATCTATGCATAAATTCCTCATGAGCACAATTAAATGTTCTAGAACTCTCATTTTTTGGAAAGTTATCCACTATTTATCATAGTCAAGGAGTCCTGGTGTGATGCTATGGGTTAATGCATCAGACTGCAAAGCCATTTGAACTGCAAGGTTGGTAGTTCAAGCTCACCAGCTGCTCTTTGGAAACTCTATCCAGGGTTGCTATGGGTTGAAATCAACTTGATGGCACTTAACAACAACAATACATAGTCAAATATGGTAAAATTTGTCTAGCATTCTCTGCTTTCAACCAAAATTCATCTGACATCAACAATGATATTCCTTGTTCTAGATTCTCTTCTGAATCTGACTTGAATTTCTGGCAATTCCCTATTAATGTACTGCTGCAAATGTTTATGAATTATCTCCAGCAAAATTTTATTTGTGTGTATTATTAATGACATTGTTTGATAATTTACACATTCTATTAGATTAATTTTCTTTGGAATGGCCCAAATATGATTATCTTCCAGTCAGCTGGCCTTGTAGCTGTCTTCCAAAGTTCTTGGTGTAGACGAGTGAGTTCTTCTAGCATTGCATATATGTGGTCAAAAGTGTCAATTGGTATTCTGTCAATTTCTGAAGCCTTGTTTCTTATCAATACCTTCAGTGCTGCTTGGACTTCTTCCTTCAATACTATCAGTTCTTGATCATTTGCTACCTCTTGAAATAATTGAATGACGATCAATTCTTTTTAGTATAGTGACTGTGTATTCCTTCCATCTTCTTTTGATGTTTCCTGCATCATTCAATATTTTGTCCATTAGAGAATTATTCAGTATTACAAATTGAGGCTTGAATGTTTTCTTCAGTTCTTTCAGCTTGACAAATACTGAGCATGTTCTTCCTTTTGGTCTTCTAACTCCAGGTCTTTGTAGATTTTGTTACAATGCATTGTCCCTGCAGCCACCTTTTGAAATCTCTGCTCAGGTATTCTGCTTCATCATTTCTTTCATGGAGTCTATTTACTCTACATTTAAGAACAAGTTACAGAGTCATCCATTTTGGTCTTCACTTTCTTTCCTGTCCTTTTAGTGACCGTTTTTGTTTTCATCGTCTATAACATTCTTGCTGTAATCCCATAACTAGTCTGGTCTTTGGTAACTAATGTTAAATGCATCTAATCTAGTCTTTGTTTTTTTTTTTTTTTAGGCTGTCTCTTGATCTCAATTCCCTGTTCAACCCAACCTCCTGTGCTTTCTCTGTTGGATTACTTCATCACCTATTTTCATAATGCCATTCTCATTTTATCATCTGCTGCCTGCTCTCTAGCCTATATTGTCCTGCATCTAAATCTCCCTCAAAAGGCTCAAGTGAGCTATTGTTTCCTCTCTTATCATAAAAGTTTCATGGAGATCATTAGACAACAGAACTCAGACATTAGCATGTTCATAGCAGAGGTTGTTTTAACAGAGTGACATCTAATCTATTCTTGACATGGTTTCTAAGTTCAGATGGTATATACTCAAGTTCATACTTTAGCTCTTGCAAATTTGTTTAAAAAATTTCAGTTCAATTTAATGAGCACTTGGTGGTTGGTTCCATAGTTGACCCCTGACCTTGTTCTCACTGAAGTCTCCACAAATGTGGTCAATTGTCTCCACAAGTGTGGTCAATTTGATTTCTGTGTATTCCATCTGTTGATGTCCGTATGTATAGACACCATCTATGTTGTTGAAAAAATGTATTTGTAATGAATAAGCTATTGGCCTTGCCAAATTCTATAATCTGTAGAATCTCTGTAGTCGTTTCTACCACCAAAGTCATATTTTCCTACTACTGATACTTCTTTGTTTCCAACTTTTAAATTCCAATCACCAATAATTACAAGATATTATTGTTTTAAGAGTCAATTTATGGGTCAAGGTTAATTGCAATCTCCTCATTCAGGCATTACTGAAAAGTATTACTGTTAAATAATTATGAGAAACCTGATTTCAGGGCATTCTATTTAAATTTTTTATTTTTAATGTTTTATTGTGAATTACATGATAGTTTAC